ATATAAAGGAGGGGCCAGGTGTGCTGGTAAACATCTATAATCCCAGCACTCTGAGAGGCTGAGGCAGAAGGATTTAAAGTTTGGGCCCAACCTGGGCAACAGTGAGACACTATCTCAAAAAAAAAAAAAAAATGTGTTGGGGATGTGGTTTAGAGCAGAGGTTCTAGGAGAATATATATGAGAGTAGATATGATTATATATGAGACTATGTAAGATTATACATGATTATACAAAGGAGACAGAGACAGACAGACAGAGACAGAGGCAGACAGACAGACTCTGGGTGTGAAGGTACACTCCAACACTAAGAAGCTGAGGCAGGAGGATTGCAAATTCTAACTCAGCCTGAGCAAATCAGTGATGCAGTGAGGCTGTCTCTCAAAATTTAAAAAAGAAATTTTTAAAATTTATATACTAATTGGTACATTTTAGGTATACATTTACATTTATCATTGGGTGTTTGTACCTGCACATGATGTATCTTAGTTCTTATTTTTTTCCCCATTACCTATGCACCCTTCACCCCCACCACCCTTCCCTATTTACATAGACTTTGTTTCCATTTTTTTTTCCTTTCTCATAATTTTTCCTTTCCTTTAAAAAAGAAATTTTTAACAGGCTGAGGATATAGCTCAAAGCAAACACCCTGTGTTCAATCCCCAGTACTGGGAGCAAAAAACAGGAGGAAAAATTAGAAGTGAGTGTGATAGTGGCAGGTTAAGGAAGAAGCAGGGAGACTGAAAGGTTGGAGGTTCCTCAGTAATTAGGCAAGAAATGAGATGCCTTGGACTCAAGTTGCAGTAGTAGAGGTATATTTAAAGTGGTCTTTTTGCAGATATATTCTAAAGGCAGAGACCACTGAATTATCTGAGACAGAATGTGGAATGTGTCAGAAAGAGAGGAGGAAGAAGGATTTAGAACTTACAGATGGTTGCATCTTTCTACCTGGAAGGATGGAGTTGCCATCAGCCAAAATGGGGCAAGCTATAGGTGAGGCAGGTGGGCGTGGAGATGAGGAGTCTTATTTTAATCATGTGTATTAGATGTTGTGCAGAGGTGCTGAGCAGACATTTAGATACAAAAATCTGGAATTAGGCAGAGAAGGCTGACCTAGAGAGATAAATGTGGAAGATAAAGTCAGGAGGCTGAGTGAAACCACCAAAGGAACAAATGCAATTTAAAAAGAGGAGGAAGGACTGAACCTATGTGCTCCAAATAAAGGAGTCATTTTTAAAAAAAACAACCAAGGACCCGGGATTTAGCTCAGTGGTTCTGCTGCCTGCCTCTCAAGCGCAAGGACCCAAGTTCGATCCCCAGTACCAAAAAACCCCAAAAAAGCAACCAAGAGAGTGAAGTGGAGAGGGAGGAGACTTAGCTGGAGTGGACTTAACATCAAGAGGAGAGTTAAGACTTCTTACAAAAGGCTCCAGGCATCTTTTTTTGTATTGCGTGTATGGATTTTTGTTGTCATATTGAGACACGGTCTCACTAGTTCAGGCTGCCCTTGAACTCACCATGTAGCTCAGGCTAGCTTCAAACTCATAGCACTCCTCCTGCCTCGCCTCACAAGTGCTGGGATTACAGGTGTGCACTACCAAGCCTGGCTGTGTTTCTTTTCTATCTTTTATAATGCTTTGAAATCCTGGAGCCTTGTAGACCTGGGAGGAACTGTCTCTCCCAAGGTTAGCTAACTCCTGGAAGTAGCAAACAATTTACCTTGGAGCATGTCTTTGTCATGCCACCCAATCCTGAATCCATACCACCCACCACCTCCTTTTATCAGGTTCTTACATCCCTGAACAGCATCTCTCTGCTTTGAATCACCCTAGGACTGGGTGCCTGATAAGTAAAGGACACTTCTTTAGCCCAGAACACTAAAATTATTCAAACTAGCCAATCTTAGACCTTCTTAGCTGCTTAACCTGTCTCCTCCCAGAAAAAGACTGTAATAAAGTCTTTGCCCATGCTTTTTCCTCTGCTCCTCCTGCCTCGAGCCTGACCCCAGTGCTTCCTCTGTTGCCCTGTTTGGCATGCACTGCCCCTTCCTCTTAGGAACTATGAATCACAAACTATCTTTTCAATAAGAATTACCTTCTGAACTGTTGACCTCATCCTACCTACGTAAAACCTAAGTCCTTGCTATGCAGTGAAGGCTGGCCTTGAACTCACTGTATAGCCCAGGTTGGCCTCAAATTCATGCCAATCCTCCTGCCTCAGCCTCCCAAGTGCTGGGATTTCAGGCGTGTGCCACTGCACTTGGCTTCCTGGATATACTTTTAAATAATCCTGCTTTCTGCACTCCTTGCCCTGAGGCAAGGAAATAGATGCTTCAACAGTAGCTTCCAAACCCCTCTCCTGTTCCCAAGTCCTATCTTCAAGGTTCCTGATGCTAGAAAAGAAACTTTGAGTTTGAGAACCTCCTTTCTTCCAAGAACCCCTATTTTGCCTTAGTCTAAGAGTTCTTCCCCTCACACACTTCCAGTTTCACCGATTGGTTTCTCTTTAGGAATCTGACAGACAAGGTCCTCCCTCAGGGTATTGGCACAGTCCGAGTGTCTCAGGAAAAGAACAGGAAGCTGGGTAAGTGGCGCTGGGCCTTGAAGAATGGGCAGAATTCATTTCATGGCCTGAACAGCCTCTTGTGCACCCAATGCTTGCTCTGTTGCAGTTCTGTCTCCTGAACGACCATGCTACCCTGGGATCCCAGCCCCAAAGCCCTCTGGCTTCTACCACCGAAACGTGTGGCACTCTCTGGCCTGCTTCAGCCGCTCCTTCCCCACCACTGACAGCATCCTGGGCTGCCTGGCCGGCCGCATCGTCCACATGATGGGGGACTCCACACTTCGGCAGTGGTGGGAGTATCTGCGTGACACCGTGCCCTGTGAGTATTGGGAGTATTCTGCTCCCCCAGTAGAACAACTAAGAGGAGAACCAAGGCTGAAAGAAGGCAGAAAATTATATCAATGGAGCAGAATGTCTTGATTTCATGACAGTGACATGAAAGGACAGGGTGCCTAGGTTTGGGACTGGGAGGGGCTGGAAAACAAGGTGCTCAGAGTATGCATAATCTCAACCATGAAGTATGTGACTAGGGGGCTCATAATTATGAGACAGCAGGGGCCGGGGATTTAGCTCAGTGGTTTCGCTGCCTGCTGCGCAAGCGCAAGGACTGGAGTTCGATCCCCGGTACCAAAAAAAAAAAAAAATAATAATAATAATTACAAGACAGCAGGTATACATACAACCGTGGCTGGAACTGAGGCTTTGTTTGGGGGAAACTGCGATTTTTTTTTTTTTTTTTTGTACCAGGGATTGAAACTCGGGACCTTGAGCTTTCAAGGCAGGCGGTGGAACCACTGAGCTAAATCCCCAGCCCGATACTGTGATTTAAAGGAGAATCTAGAGAAATCAAGATTGAGGGGTTAATGTTTTAAAGCAGCATTTTCATGTTGGGCAGATTGCATTGGATAAAAAAAAAGAAAGACCAAAGCCTAGTTATAAGACAATGTAAAGTGAGGCTAAAATTGGTAAAGAAAGTGTCCACAGTAAAGGAAGATGCTGGGGGAACCGATGGTGAGTGCTGACTGATTGGTTCTAGAATGAATGGAGGTGACTGAATGACTCTGGATAACCATAGAATAGATTCAAATGGAGTCACTGCGATTGGATTGGAGCAAGGGCAAATGAGTGGAAGAAGACAGTGTGTCTCCTTTATACTCCTTCAGACTGGATTAAGAGGTGGTAGGGGGCTTCTAAGGGAATGTGTGAACGAGGTATATGAAGACACAGGACTGAAGTTGAAATGAGACAGCTGAGCTTCAGACAGGGTTTTGATATTTATTCCTCTGGGGGCAAAAGATAAAGTGGTGAGAGTGTCCTACAAGCTGAGTGTCATCTGAGTTTCTACCTCTCATACACCAGGGTTTAGGGCAAATCTCACAATGTGGCATAGCATGGATTAAGGAATAGAGCTTATTGGGAAAAGGGGTAACATGAGCATTGAGGATGAACAAGAAAAGAAAGAATATAAGCACCCATGCAAGCTTCCTCCTTATCCTCATCTGTCCTCCCATTATCCCACAGAGAGTAGTGTGTGGGACCCACAGGGTGAGTCTGTATTCTTATAGAGGGGAATCCCCTCCACATTGCTCTCCCTTCTTTCCTACAAGTGTGAAAACAGCCTTATGGGGGGTTTCCCAGTGTGAAACAGTCTAGAGGTGGGCGTCCGTTTACAAGAGTTGTCTGAAAATACCAGCTGCCCCATGCTGGGGCTTGGGATGTTGTCTACCCTCTTTTCAAGAGACTGAAGCCTCGCGTTTCCCAGCAGTGTTTTCTTGGATGCAGCTCCTCCTTCTGGTAGGAAGGGGGAGACCCAGTCCCAGCTATTTCAGTATTGAGGCAATGCCAAGGAAGCTGGTAGAGCCAGGCGTAGGAGTCCCCTTGAGAGGCTGAGGCAGGAGGATTGCCATGAATTTGAGGCCAGTCTACACTACACAGTGAGTTTAAGGCCATTCTGAACTACATAGTGAAGCCCTGTCTCAAAAACAAAAACCAAGTAACCTAGTAGAATCACTTTGGGACTATTCTACTTGTGGTAAGGTGGACTAGATTATTTCCCCAAGCAAGAGATGTTTCTAAAGATGGACAGAAGGCTGGCAAAACCAGAGCCTCTCTGTGTGATATACCTTTCTGTGAATCAGAAAAACATTCCCCTTGGGGCCAGTGTGACCTTGCAACACATGGCAAGACATGCATGCAGGAACTCTGCAAAGAGAGGGCCTCGTCTAGTAAGTGGACCGGCTGGATCTCAGGTGCCTCCTAGGCTGGCCACCACAGCACAAGGAATAAACGTGATGAGCCTGAGTTTCTGGCTTGGGGTAAATCTTCATCCAGGGGTGACTGAAGGAAGCCAATGGGTGAATCCAAGTTGGAGAGCTCAGACAAAAGACTGCAAAGAGTGACAACTAAGAAAGGAGAGAATTCCCACAGGAAAATCAATGAGACCCAATTCTACAGACCGGGAGGCTGAGAACCAAGAATAAGCCTTCACACTGGGGAACTAGGCCACTGGCATTACCACTGATTAGAGAGAGAAGACCAGCTGGTCACAGGATACTCATATGCTAAGAAAGATACTCATATGCTAAGAAAAACGCTAGAGCATTTTTTTTTTTGGTACCAGAGATCAAACTCAGGACCTTGTGCTTGTGAGGCAGGTGCCAGAACCACTGAGCTAAATCCCTGGCCCTGCTAGAGCATTTTATTGTTTTGTTTTTTTTTTGGTACCAGGGATCGAACTCGGGACCTTGTGCTTGCATAGCAGGCGCCAGAACCACTGAGCTAAATCCTTGGCGCAATAGAAATTCTTTTGCAGTGGCCACCTTTTTATTTTATGCATCAAAATTTTTTTTTTTTTTGGTACCAGGGATCGAACTCAGGTCCTCTCACTTGTGCAGCAGGCAGCCAAACCACTGAGCTAAATCCCCGGCCCCCTGCTAGAGCATTTTAAAATGAGGAACTATAGCTATTAACTCGTGGCTCCTACTCTCTCATCCCAACAGCCCTGAAGCCGGTGGATCTACATGCTATATATCATTCAGGGCCCCTGATGGCCGTGGACACTACTCGGGGCATAGTGCTGCACTGGCGGGCTCACAGCTGGCCCCTGCGCTCTCTCCGCACACCAGTGGCCTCCCTGCACTCAGTGGTCAGGGAGCTGGCAGGCCTGGCTGGGGGTCCCCACACCGTGGTGGTGCTGGGCTTGGGAGCCCACTTCACCACCTTCCCTCCATCCATCTTTGTGCGACGCCTGGCAGGGATTCGGGCCGCTGTGACAGCCCTGCTGGCCCGGGAACCCAGTACTCTTGTGGTCATCAAATTGGCCAACACTGGCTACAAATCCGTGTATGGCAGCGACTGGTTCACCCTCCAGGTGAACCGGCTCCTTCGAGCTGCCTTTTCTGGTCTCCGTGTGGCCTTTGTGGACGCCTGGGAAATGACCTCCAGCCTGGCCCTGCCGGACAACATTCACCCGGGGAAGCTCATTGTCCAGAATGAGGTGGACCTACTCCTCTCCTTCATCTGTCCCACCTGAGTGCTTCTGTGGGCCCTGAGGCCTGGGGCCTGGGACCTAATTGTGAAGAGAATTATATGCATAATAAAACTTCTGGGATAAGGGGACATGCCATCAACTTCTCTCACGAGAAGGCTGTAATCTTCCTTACTAGTCCAGCTGATTTTATTCTTGCCTCACGCCAACCTCTCTTCCACTCAGAACCAGTGATCGTTTGAAAAACAAATGAGACCATGGTGTTATACCCTGCTTGAAAGCCAGTGGCTCCCATCTTCTTAATATAAACTCAAACTTCTTACCATGGTCCTGGTCCTCTAGATCCTGCATGATGGCCCTGCCTAACTCTGCACCTCATTTCCCACCACTCTTCCATGACCGTTTGTAGTTCAACTCTGAATCTTCTTGCTGGTTAATTGGGTCAAGCTGTCCTGCCTCAGGGGCTTCTGTCTGTTGTCCCTATGCTTGAAGTGCCCTTCTTTCAGATTCTCCTATGACTAGCTTTCTTCTCTTTGAATTTCTTAATCAAACATCTTTTCACAGACTTTTCCTGTCCACACAAACTTAAAGAGCCCCCTATCTCCTCCTCACCCTGCCCCACATCACTAACTACAACCTATAATTATTTCATAGCTACTATTATCATTATTGCTTACTTGTCTGTCTGCAGAATGTGACCTCCACAAGGGACAGGAAGTTGGTCTAGCCTGCTTACTGTTGTGTTCCATAACCTACAGTAGTGCTCGAGACATTGCAGGTGTTAAATATCCACTGAATGAGCAAAGTGAATGAATTAGTCAAGTGACTAAGGAGTGGGGGTATCACTGCTATGCCCTGCACCTTCTCTTGGCAACCAGGATCCTGTGAGAAATAGGCAATTGGTTAACTACAGTGTCCCTCTGTGACTGATCACCATATGTGCATCATTATCACTATTAATGTTTTACATTTACATTAAGACAGTTTCTATTTTTTTTTTTTAATTTTTTTTGGTACTGGGGATCGAACTCGGGTCCTTGCGCTTGCGCAGCAGGCGGCGAAACCACTGAGCTAAATCCCCGGCCCCTACAGTTTCTATTTTTATTTTGGAAGATCCTCACAAGAACTTTTTTCATTTTACTGAGGACTGCAGAGGATGAATACAGAGCTGAGCCAATCCTTGGTCCTAAATTGGTTTGCAGAGACAGGCAGAGTGATATTGGTGATGGCAGTAGCATTCTGTCCTTACTAGAAAAACTCCTTCCTGGAAGGCTGGAAGTGAGTGACCATTCTTGCCTGCTCTGATTCTGGCCGACCAGGTCCTCTCCGTATCCTGGATGTTCCTCCTTGGAGGGGCCTCCCTGACAGAAGTCCTGTCCACCCCAGGGCTCATCCTTCCAGGGTTAGCACCTTATCTCAGGCCACTGGCTCCCGGGTGCTGTTTCCGCAACTATTTGTCTCTGGCTGAAAGGCTTCCCTGATCACCCGAAAAGGGGCTCCATGACCAGGCACGATCACATCGGCGATGCCTAAGATTCGCTTTCGGCTCCGCTCCTGCGCCACCGGGTCTTCGCTCAGTGCCTGCCATGAGTCCTCATCACCATCGCGCTCAAAGACATCACCTGCCACTACCACAGTGCCCAGGGCCGTGCCTGCCACCACCACGCTCACGTCCCGCTGGCCCCCGTGGCCCGGCGTGGCCCACACTTCGAGCCCGGGGCCCAGGCGCAGGGGCTGCTCTTCACTCAGCCCGTGGGGTAGGTAGAGGCCCCCGGGAAGGCAGAAGTCGTGCGAGACCAGCAGAGCTGCCCCCGGAAACAGCCCCAGGTTCCCGATATGATCCGAGTGCCCGTGGGTCCCCACCACCAGAGTCACGTCTCCCGGGGACAAGCCTTGCCTTGCCAGGGCCCCCAGCAGCGCCTCCCGAGTCCAGGGTCCCCCGGTATCCACGAGGATGGGGCCACACGCCGCCATCTCCAGGGGTGTCTTCGCATCGCCGCCCGCGGGCAGAGACTCTCGAGGGCTGGACTCGGAGTCCCAAGCCTGGGATAGAATCAGGGTGACAGAGCCGTCAGCGCGCACGGCGTCGCCGACCGTCTCTGGCTCCGAGTAGCCCTGCAGCAGAACCACCACGGAGTAGGAGTCGCCGGGAACCAGCAAGGGAGCCCCGCTCAGAGGTTCGGCCCGCACTAAGCTGCTCATGGTAGGGAGGGACCTGCTGGGAGGGAGAGAGAGAGAGAGCGACTCTCTCGGAGCTCTCAACCCCCCTCCGGAAGATGGTATTACCCAACCTGCCTCTTCTCGCGATCCCTCCCTCGGCGCCCCCCCCCCCCCCCGCCCCGCTGGTGTTGTGGTTGGTCTTCACTCGTTATCCTCCAAAGGATATCTTTTTCCTTTTCCTTTTTCTCACTGACCCTAGCTGCTTTCTGCCTTGGATCTAGTTATATCGTCTCACTTGTTTTTCCTTTTGGGGAGAACACGTAAGTCGGACAAGCGCGTGAGATTTTTGACCTCTGCGATCTCCAGTAAACCCAAGTATGGCGGCCGAAGTGGCGTCATGTACGTAACTAATTCCCGTGGATCATAAAATTTCAGCTTTCAGATGCCGCCCAAACCCAGTCCTCCCTACAGTTCTTAACCCGTGACCCTTCCAGGTTCCTGGGGCTGCAAAACTACCAAGCATATTAGCTGCTGGGAGGGTGGCATCCAACAGCCCCGCTGTCTGGGCGTTGCCACATCAACCAGCCGTGATATGTGCAAGGATGTTGAAACTGGGCTCAACAGATACTGAAAAAAAAAGTTTAATAGCTATATATAAAATTTGGCACCTGTGAGATTAATATGAAGCAGACAAGTATCTACCCCACCTAACTGAATCAGCACTGCCTCACCCCCATCCAGTATCCTATTCTTGTTCCCAGCTTGCTGATTTGCAGCCTCCTGAACACAGGTAGTGTACATAGGTCGTAGAGAATGTCTGTTCTGTTGTCTTCCTTGTAAGGATCTAAAATAAAATCCCTTGAGAAGCAAAGTGACTTTCCCCAGATCCACAGCTCCATGCCATCGCTGACCTCTGAGGAGCAGAAAAGATATTTAAAGGGAAAAGCCTCAGGATTGTCACCACACATACACTTGCCAATGGAATGGCAGGCATGGGGCTCATCTGTGGAGGCAGGACTTCCACCTGCTGCTGCCACCTTTCTCCCCATAGTCATGCCATCCTTCATGCCCAAAAAGCGTTGGGGTTGGGTCACTCACACTAACACACACCCTTAAAGCTGTGGGGCAGGGACAGCTCAGACTTCAGAGGGTTCTTCTCTATAAACCCCTCCTGGGGGTTCAAAGGCAAGGGTCAAAGATCCTCTGGGTCATGCTTGGAGTGTCTTTCTGTCTTTGTCATCTCCTCTTCCTCTCCTTCCTCTTCTTCCTCTTCTTCCCCTTCTTCCTTCTCTTGATCATCTGTGATCTTCTCCTTTCCAGTCCAAGTTTCCTGTAGACATGCTAGGTGTGGTGAGAAAAAACAATTCAAATTTTGGTTCTGGGGTTAGGGAATGCTGCAGCCTGGCCCTAGAGGAGCCCAACCCCCACACTTACCAGTTTCAGCAGCTGGGAGCACATGACCTTCACAGAGAAAATGCTGTAGGGGCTGCTCCTGATGGTGGAAATACCAGTCTCCCAAGACATCTTCATACTCCTCCAGCATCGTCTCACACTGTTCAAGTGGAAAAGCGGGCCTAGTATCTGGTTGGCTGAACTTTGCAAACCTTCCTCTCCACTCCCTGTCTCCCTCCTTCCCCCGACTGACCTTGGAGAGGCAGGTAGCCAGATTAAGCTTGGTTTACTAGATGTGTGATCTTCATTCAACAAATATTTACTAGCTCCTATTCTGCTACATATATTATTAAATTATAAGCCTCAGCTCCTTTCCTATAAAATAGTCCTATAATCATACCTACCATATCAGGTTGTTTCATGAGTCAAATGAGGCAGTAGCTGGAAAGTATGTGGTCCACAAGCACGGACACAAGGTAGGTGCTCAGTAAAGAGTGATGGATAGTATGAGCCTCTAGTTCTCTTTCTTTCTCTCTTTCCTTCTTTTATACAGTATTGGGGATCGAAGCCCAGGGCCTTCACAGTGAGCTACAACTGTAGCCCTTTATTTTTTGTTTTGAGACAGAATCTTAGTCTCTAAGCTGTTGGGGCTGGACTCAAAACGGTGATCCTTCTGCTTCAGCCCCCAAGAATGCTGGGGTTAAGGGTGTACAGCACCATGCTTGAACAGTATTACTTCTTGATATGCTCTTGGGCCCATTTTAATGGATGGCATAGTTCTCACTCTGCTCCCTTCTCTTGCTCAGAGGTGGACATCCCTTACAGTCAAATCCTAGGACCTCACTTCCCACCTCAGGTTCCCTTCTCACCTCCCCGGACACTGTGGTACCTTATCCTACCTGCTTCTTGAGGAATGTGACTTCCACACTGGGCTCATCCCACAGCTCCAAAGGGATCCCCAGATCCACCTTTACTCCCTTCTGCACCAGGCCTTTCAGCGTTGCCATGGTCTGACTCTGACCCTGCGAGATGGAGAATATGAGATCAGCCCAGTGCAGTACCACCTCTTCCTTTTCTACCACATCAGTTTTGTCATCTACTGAAGTCTCAGGAGTGAGTTCAAAGAGGGTGAGATGCAGGAGCCTGAACATAAGGAGATGCTCCAGAGCTGGGGTGAGATGGGTCTATAGCCCTTGAGAGCCTCAGGGGATATAGGTCTTTGTTTCTGAGAATTGGGGTCCTGCCCTGGGGAAAGAGCTGACCTTAGCGTATCTCAGTGACCCCTTGCGCTCAGCATGAACACTATAATCCAGGATCCGCTCACATAAATTCTCCAAGGCCTCTTCCAGCCTTGTCTCTCTGTGGGAAGAAGAGAACAAAGACTTCCTGGATGCTGCAGGGACTCTCATAATAACTTTGGGGGCTGGAAGGTAGAGGAACACCAAGAAAGACTTACGAAATGGTATAAGGCACATGCTTCTTCCTCTTGCCTGTGTCCAGCACCTGCCCCAGCTCCAATACCTCTCGAGATCGGCCAGTGTGACTCAGCTTCTCCTGTAACTCCATGCTCAGTAGCTTACACACTGATAGTGAGGAAAGATGTTCAAGGGAATGTGAAAGACAAGTGAACACAGCTGTTCTGCAGAGGACCAAAGGCAGCAGAGTATGCTGGGTTGAAATCTAACTCAGCCTCGTATTAGCTGTGTGACAATATTGATATGCTTGTTTCTTCACCTCTAAAATGGGGATAATACTATGACCCTCATAAAGGTATAATGAGGATAAAAATGAGGCTGTGTTGGCTGTTCTGCTGAAATTATTTACTGAGCTCCTTCTGTATGTATTGTAACAATATAGAGAATAGTAAGACCCATGGCCAGGCATTGTGGCACATGCCTCTAATCCCAGCACTTGGGAGGATGAGGCAGGAGGATCATCATGAGTTGGAGGCTAACCTGGGCTACATAGTGAGTTCAAGGCCAGCCTGGACTACATAGTCCCTGTGTCAATTACCCCCCCCCCAAAGATCCGTGATCTTTGTCCCTGGGAACAGTGTCAGTATAGTTGGAAATAAACAGATAATAATATGGTATGATGGATCGTACACTAGGGGCTAAAACCAAGAAACTTAATTTGGTTAGGAAATGCAAAATTCATTCTGGTCACTTACTGTCTTCCTACTAGCCTCTGATTTCCACAAAGGTGAATGAACATCATGTCTATTCATTACTGTTTTTATCATTCCCTAGCATGTGACCTGGCACTTGGTGGGTCAGAAGAAATGGCCCATAGAGAAGTGACAAGTAAACTAAACAAAAGTTCAAGTAACCAAAGTGCTTAAATGTGCCTGGCACTGTGCTAAGACCTGAGATACACAGGTACTTCCTTTCCTTCAGGAGCGTATGGGTTAGCAGGAAGTGATAGACAAGGAAGATGCTTTCCAAAGGAGGTGACACTTAAACTGGGTGTTGAGTGCTCGCTTCAGCAGCACATACACTCAAATTGGAACGATACAGAGAAGATTAGCATGGCCTCTGCGCAAGGATGACACTCAAATTCGTGAAGCGTTCCATATTTTGTATAGCGGCACAGTTTGTAATAGCTAAAGCTTGGAAACAGCCCAAGTGCCCATCAACTGGAAACTCGATAAAGAAGATGTGGGGATTTGATCCCCGGTACCAAAAAAAAAAAAAAAGATGTGGGTTTTTTTTTTTTTTTAATAAAATGGAGTACTACTCAGCCATAAAGAACGAGAAACTAGAGACATTTATAGCTAAATGGATGCATATTGAGGCCATCCTCTTAAGTGAAATAAATAGGACACACGTGTAAGTACCGAATAGTTTCTCAGGTGAGAGAAACTTAAAGTGTAAATAAGGATTAAAATGATTAAAATGAATAATTGATAATCTGAAATAGGAAGAAAAGGGCCAAAGGGGTAGGGGAAGTGGGAGGGGAAGGGGATAGGAAAGAAGGAAAATGGAAATAAAGTATTTGTAAATAGGGAAGGGAGGACAGGGAATGGGGAAAAAATAAGAATCAAGATACATCATGTACAGGTACAAGTACCCAATGATAAATATTTACATATTGTGTACCTAAAATGTACCAATAAAAGAATTTAAGGGGAAAAAAAACTGGGTGTTGAGGAATGGTTATTATAAGGTTACTTCAGACAACAGGAAAAACAGCAGAGGCACACAGTTGCAACAGGAAAAAGGATGCTCCTGACCATGAGCTCAGTGTTGCCTGAAGCACGGGCACTTTGGGGATGGGAAAGGGGTATGAAAATGTAAGAAAGTCTGGGGCTGAATAACGGAGATTTATGTGTATTCTGATCACAGAAGTTTGCATTGGTGTTAAAGCAAGAAATGCCAAGATTCGATCTGAGGTTAGAAAGACTGACAGGAGGCAGAAAAATGGGGACGCAGAAGTAAAAGAAGGTGAGATGTTAGAACCAAGTTGATAAGGACACTGATACTGAAATGCCATGGAGTGTGAGGCGAAGAGAAAAAGAATCTCAAGAAGAAAATAAAATCGCGGAGGCAACAAACTCTAGGGGACCAGGACACTCAATGATTAGACTCTAAAGTGCCCCTTCCCAGCGGTGTCCCACGCTAATGCAGCCAGGGAAAGATGCTGCTTGGAGTAAAATCCTTACAGTACAAACACACTGCAAAGCCTCACACGCATGCAAAACTTAGTTGTGTGGCCTCCCCATCCAGTGTTTATGAGCTTCGAGGGCTTACTCATCCTCAAACACCCTCAGGGGGGATGGGGTCTGTAATTCGGCAACGTCTCTGCCGGGGTGGGGCAAAGGATGTCTATAAGATATGAGCCTCACACCAACCCCTTGCAAGCTCTCCAGATTTAGATCTGGTTGGTGACAAGGAGGAAACATCAAATAGTGATGCTCGGTAGAGTCGGCGGTCCAGGGCAGATAGTCTCTGAACTACAATTCTCAAACTGCACTGGGGCCCAATATTGCAAGAAAAAGCAGGCTCCCTCAGGGTGGCTCATGGGAAACATAATCCCACAGTTTTGGGGTGGCACTACGCATGTCTCCCTTGTTCCCATTCCACTTCCGCCAAGCTCCACCAGACCCTTGTTCAGGACGTCAAGGTCGAGTAACCCACCCATCCTAGTCCACCTGGTCTGGCCTAAACGAAGGAAGTGGGACAAACAGATGCAGATAGGAACTTCTCCCTTTTGATACCTTCGCATTTGCTGGGCAAGCGTTCTGTGTCATCGTCCTCCTCTTGCGACGTTCCAGCCCAAGCACTATACACTGCCACAACGAATAACAATATTCCCAACCGTACAGGTCCCATGAGAAAGCGCCGTCCACAACCACAGTTTGACTTCAAACCAACTTCGGGAAGGGAGCGGGCCCTTTAAATTCAGAGACGGTCGGCGGCAACATTAAATCTAGTCTGGCTTGGTCCGCGCAGGCTCAGAATCAGCTCGAAAGGGGTGGGGCCTCGGCGTTGTAAGGTTCCCCGCCTCTGTTTTGTGGCGCCTCCTGAAGGTCCTGGCTGCTAGGTGGAAAAGGAATAAATCGAAGTAATTAAAAGTGGAGCCTGTGTTTCTTACACTTATATATAGAAACACATTTTTATATGATTTCAGGCTCTGAGTCTAGATGATTTATTGTGGCTCGAGGAAGGGGCGGTGACTTGCTTTCGATCTCTGCCAGGACCTGCGACAGGGAGGGGGCGGGGCCAATATGGCGCCGAGCGCCGGGTGAGCAGCCCTTTGGCAGGGGTAAGAGGCTCTTACTGCTGCTTCCAGAGCTGGGCTGGCTGGGGCGGATCTGAAGGGTACCTGGGAGGAGACCCCTTGGGGGGCCTTTGTGGGGACTGGGAAGAGGATGGTTGGTTGTGGGTCTATGCTCGTGGAGACTCTGTGTCTATGCATTGCAAGGATGTCGGGGGAGATGGAGTGGGTTCTCTGGGCTTCCTTTCGCGCTGCCTGGGGTTCTTCGACCCGGTTCTTTGCAGGAAAACTACCTCAGAGTCTACCTCAAGTTAGCTCTGCTCTGACAAGCCCCTCTGCCGTCTCCACTAATGTGAGACTCTCCTGAAGCTGTACCGTGTTTTATGAGCCCTTACTGGCAGAGGGTACCGCAGGGTATTGACAGATTAGTATGAGTTCGCCAGGGAACTGAGACATTGCTTCTTGTATACCTGGCACGAGGCACAGAGTTTATGTTGAATAATTGTGTCCATTATAGGTAAGACTTACAAAAGTCTGTGCAGGGACCTGGGATGGTTTGAAAAGTACCAAATTCTCCTTCAGCCCTCAGTTCTGAACACTTGAGGTTCATCTTCCTAAAGCCCAGCTCCCAATTCCTTTTGACTCCAGTGTAAAGTTAGGCTTTGGTCTATGTCTTACTCACTTTGATAATCGTGATACCCAGTATTCATTGAGCACCTACATCTCTAAGCCTTGCAATTCATCCATTTGTTCAACAAGTATTTATTATTTATAGTGTCTCAGGAACCTGCCTGGGCACCTAGAAAACATCTATGAACATATTAAAGATCCCTGTCCACATCCTGGGTGAGGTTGATAATCAGGAATGATACAGTGTATTAGGAGATGTTAAGTGCTGTGGAAAAGAAAAACTAGAGCAGAATGAGAGCAGAATAGGGAATTAAAATAGCATAGTCAGGGTAGGCAGCCAAACAGACATCTGGGGAAAACACAGAGCAAAAGCTGTGAAGCTAAAGCGTGTCTGGCAGATTTAAAAAACAGCAAAGTGAGGGCCAGGGATTTAGCTCAGTGGTGCTGCCGCCTGCCTCGAAAGTGTAAGATCCATAGTAGAGGAATCTGGTTGGGTTGTCTGGTGGACTTAATGTGAGGGAGGGCCCAGATAAAGATCCAGTTAGTACTGCCTTATTAGGAAAATGAAGGAAGCCAAGGCTGGAGCAGGTGGGTAGAGGGAGATCAGGAATTCAATTTTAGTAGGGATTCTGAGTTGTTTCTTTTTGTCTGTTCTGCCTGCCAGGGTCTCCATCACTCCACCCTGGGGCCACATCCTTCCAGGGAGAGGAGGAGGCACTCCAGCATGGCTGAAGAGAAGAAGCTGAAGCTCAGCAATACTGTGCTGCCTTCTGAGTCCATGAAGGTCGTGGCTGAATCAATGGGCATCGCTCAGATTCAGGAGGAAACCTGCCAGCTGTTGACAGATGAGGTCAGCTACCGAATCAAAGAGATTGCACAGGTAACCAGGCCATTCTGCCCAGCCCTGCTTTGTGTCAAGAATATTACCCAGGCAGTCTTCTTCCTCTTGGTTTTATTTTATTTATTTTTTGGTACCGGGGATCAAACTTGGGTCCTTGCGCTTGTGCAGCAGGCAGCGAAACCACTGAGCTAAATCCCCGGCTCCCTCCTGGTCTTAGACAGATGGCTGATGTCTTTTCTCCTGTCCCCCTGGCTCCAGGATGCTCTCAAGTTCATGCACATGGGAAAGCGACAAAAGCTCACCACCAGTGATATTGACTATGCACTGAAACTGAAGAATGTTGAGGTGATTGGGAGAAAGGAAGGAGGCAGGAGGACTAAGATGGGAGCAGGATGATGAGATGCCATCCTCCTAGATGCTGCATTTGCCTTTTGCCAGGCTCCCTTCTCACACCAACATCTCTTTCCCTCCTGATACAGCCACTCTATGGCTTCCATGCTCAGGAATTCATTCCTTTCCGTTTTGCATCTGGTGGGGGCCGAGAGCTCTACTTCTATGAGGAGAAGGAGGTTGATCTAAGTGACATCATCAATACTCCTCTGCCTCGGGTGCCTCTGGATGTCTGCCTCAAAGGTTAGTGGAGGGGCGGCCAGGGTGCCAGGGAGGAGTGAAGTGTGTTGTTCGTGAGGAACCTCACAAGTGAAGAAGCTCTCGGAGTGGGATCCCTGGTAGATGGTACGAATGGGAGCAGGAACCAGAACACACCTACCTTAGTGTGGAGTGACTGCCTACTGTCCATGTCCAGCAGTTCAACTCAACAGCTTCCTTTCTCACAGCTCATTGGCTGAGCATCGAAGGCTGCCAGCCAGCTATACCCGAGAATCCACCCCCAGGTAAACCTCTCCATTCCTAGAGCCCATTTCCTTCTCTCCCTCTACTCCTGCCTTGTTCCTTTACGTCTTCCCCCACTTTCATCACTCCTTCTGGTGTGACTGGTTTCCCATCAGCTCCCAAAGAGCAGCAGAAGGCTGAGGCCACAGAACCCCTGAAGTCAGCAAAGCCAGGCCAGGAGGAAGATGGACCCCTGAAAGGCAAAGGTCAAGGGGCCACCCCAGCTGACAGCAAAGGTTAGTTCTCTAGGCCAGACCTCTCCCAACTCTTATCCCAGACCAGATGGTCATTTGTGAAGTGGGTGAGGGGAGGGCCAGGAGGTCCCAGAAAGGCTCAGGAAACCTGAAGGAAACCAGGTGCGGGGAGAGCGGCAAGTGCAGGTTTGTCTGATACTGAGGGCTCTTCTGGAGCCTTATTTTTCAGACCCATCTGTCAATTCACACAGGGAAAGAGAAGAAGGCACCACCCTTGCTGGAGGGGGCCTCTTTGCGCCTGAAGCCTCGCAGCATCCATGAGCTCTCAGTGGAGCAGCAGCTGTACTACAAGGAGATCACCGAAGCCTGTGTGGGGTCCTGTGAGGCCAAGAGAGCGGTGAGGCCCCCATGCCCATCCTCACTTGAGACTCCTTGTGCAGCCCTTTCAGAGTGCTCCCCACAGTATCTGCCCGACCCCACTTGGTTCCCTTCTCCTACAGGAAGCTCTGCAGAGCATTGCCACAGACCCAGGGCTCTATCAGATGCTGCCGAGGTTCAGTACCTTCATCTCCGAGGGGGTGAGAGCACTGGGAAAGCCAGGCCCAGGATAAGGCTGGGGGAGGGGTGGCAGGGAAGGTACATGAGGACTCTCTCCGCCCCACTCTTTCCCCTTCTGTAGGTCCGCGTCAATGTGGTTCAGAATAACCTGGCCCTGCTCATCTATCTGATGCGCATGGTGAAGGCACTGATGGACAACCCTACGTTGTATCTAGAAAAATATGTGAGTGATCCTGCCCACCCTCTTTGCTGCCACCCACAGGAACCCATTTGTCAGGATCCACTGACCCACTACGCCTATAGGTGCATGAGCTGATTCCAGCTGTGATGACCTGCATCGTGAGCAGACAGCTGTGCCTGCGACCTGACGTGGACAATCACTGGGCGCTGCGGGACTTTGCGGCCCGCCTAGTGGCCCAGATCTGCAAGCATTTCAGCACAACCACTAACAACATCCAGTCCCGGATCACAAAGACCTTCACTAAGGTGAGCCCTGAGAACTTGTTCCTCTTCACCAGGATGACACTGGTCACCAGGATGACAAGTGCATCACCCAAACCTGTGGGGCAGTTGTGCTTGAGGAAATGACACCTGGAACAAGAGACCAGGGAACTAGAACTGGTGGGAGGTTGGTCTAAGGGCCTTAAGCCTCATCTGCACCATTTTAATAAAGTTTATTTCTAGAAGACCTGGGTCCGTAGTGCTTGGCCTTTAGACCGACTCATCTGGGTTTCTTTTCTTTCCCTGCAGAGCTGGGTGGACGAGAAGACTCCCTGGACAACTCGTTATGGCTCCATTGCAGGCCTGGCAGAGCTGGGACATGATGTTAGGCCCCTGACGGGAGAACAGCTGGGTGAAGGGAGGCAATCTTGAGGTTAGAGGGCAACTGCTACCCACCTGAGCAGCCCCAGTGACCCCATGGCCGTGGCTTGTCTTCTTCCTTCCCAACAGGTGATTAAGACTCTGATTCTGCCACGGCTGCAGCAGGAGGGGGAGCGGATCCGCAGCGTCCTGGATGGCCCAGTGCTGAGCAACATCGACCGCATTGGAGCTGACCATGTGCAGAGCCTCTTGCTGGTGACCAGAGCCCCTGCCCCGCCCTCCCCTCACTTCTTCCCTCTAACCTTCCTCCCCCACACACAGGTAGTTTAGCAAACATCTGGTACATTTTACTCACTTATTCCCATCTTTGCTGCATTTATTCCCAGCACCTTTCAGAGTCCGGTGCTGTTTTGCTGATGGAAATACAGACACGGGTGGGCTAAGTAAGAAATAAGGGGTCTTAATCACTGTATGACCCACTGTAAGACAAACGCTGTATGGAGTAACTGGCCCACACGTTACCAGTGTACGTGGCAAGTCTTCCAGTCATGGCAGTTGGCTCCCAGATTTTCTCTGAGGGAGACCCTCACCACTCCTTATGCTCACTGAAGGCCCAGCACAGTCTGACTCCAGTGAGGGCACGCTGAAACAGTGGGTGTCCCCTCTCTCACCCCTTCTTCTATTCTTCCTCTCTGCAGAAACACTGTGCACCTGTACTGGCTAAGCTGCACCCCCCGCCCGACAATCAGGATGCCTATCGGGCAGAATTTGGGTCCCTCGGGCCCCTCCTCTGCTCCCATGTGGTCAAGGCCCGGGCCCAGGCTGCTCTGCAGGCACAGCAGGTCAACAGGACCACACTGACCATCACCCAGGTCAGCTGCTGTGGGGCAGGGGGAGAGGGGATGAAGGCGGCACGGGTGGGACACGGCCATGGTGCCCAGGAACAGGGCTTCATACACAGACCCAGGGACCTGAGGCAGCAGTCTCTGGAAGCCTGGGCCTCCTCTGTGAAGGCCCCAACCCTAGAGAGAGCTATCGAGGAAAAGCAAGAGCAGCCAGGTCTCCATTCAGGCCCTTCCTTTTCCTAGATGCTGACATTTTCTTCCTGCCTCTTCCCCCTGCAGCCCCGACCCACGCTGACCCTCTCTCAGGCCCCTCAGTCTGGCCCTCGGACCCCGGGCTTGCTGAAGGTCCCTGGCTCCATCGCACTGCCAGTCCAGACACTGGTGTCTGCTCGAGCTGCTGCCCCGCCTCAGCCTTCCCCTCCTCCAACCAAGTTTATTGTAATGTCATCGTCCTCCAGCGCCTCATCCACCCAGCAGGTATGTGGCACCTGGGACAAGGGATTTGAGGAGCACCCCAAGTGGCCTGGGTCACCTCAGAGTAGATCCCAGTCCCCTCCAGGCCCAAAGCCAGGAGATGAAAGGGCCAGTTGCCAGGGTCTTATAAGGTGTCAAGTTAACAGTTGTCAAGATCCTGAAGTGGGAAACCCTTCACGGGGTGGGTGCAGATTGATTTGCACTGTCTTCCTTTCTCCCCCAGGTCCTGTCCCTCAGCACCTCAGCCCCTGGCTCAGGCTCCACCACCACCTCTCCTGTCACTACCACAGTCCCCAGTGTGCAGCCCATTGTCAAGCTGGTCTCCACTGCCTCCACCGCACCCCCCAGCACAGCCCCCTCTGGGCCTGGCAGTGTCCAGAAGTACATCGTGGTCTCACTGCCCCCAACAGGAGATGGCAAAGGAGGCCCTCCCTCCCATCCTTCTCCAGTCCCTCCCACCTCATCCTCCCCCTCTCCACTTGGGGGCAGTGCCCTCTGTGGGGGGAAACAGGAAGCTGGGGACAGCCCTCCTCCAGCTCCAGGGACTCCGAAGGCAAATGGTTCCCAGCCCCCTGGACCTGGCTCCCCTCAGCCTGCTCTGTGATAACATCGTCCATCTGCTGATCTCTCCCACAGATTCCTATGCGCATACACACAAGTGAGGTGGAAGAGTAGGCTGCTTACCCACATGACTTTTTTTTTTTTTTTTGGTACCAAGGAGAGAACTCGGGACCTTGTGGTTGCAAGGCAGGCAGCAGAACCACTGAGCTAAATCCCCGGCCCCCTCACATGACTTTCTTTCTAGACACTGTACAGTCAGTTCCTCAGAATAAAAGTTGATTTGTAAGTTCTGAGCCTTCCTGTGTCAGATACCACAGAAGGGGCAAATGCCTGGACCCCTCCTGGCCTCTCAAGACTCAGGAGTTCTCTGCCTACATCCAGAACCATAAGCCAGGACGCCAAGAAAGAAAATATTGTCCTCTTCCCATTTGCTTGCCTTCTTCCTTTGCTGCCATGTCCTGGTTTGGGGAGCCTCAGATCCGAATGACATAGGCCTCGCTGTGGCTAAGGTGGCGTACCCACTTGTGGGGGTTGGTGTTGCCACTGGGCCTGAAAGCCAGCCTAAGGAAGCGAACCTGGAGGCCGGAGCATGTGTGCCGGGGGAGTTCAAAGGAGAGGCTTGCAGGGCCCAGCCCCAGCAGAGGGGCTGAGGTGGTAGGCCCGTGGCTGGAGGGTCCTGGTAGGCTGGGAATGTCCATCTGTGGGGAAAGGGAAGGGAAGCCATGAGGCCAGGCAGCTGCCTGTACTCCTGGGAACAGGACAGCAGCTACACTGGGAAGGCTGGGTGTGGGGGGCACAAGTGAAGGTGGGATGGGGGTGCAAGAGGGTCAATGGGATACCTGGAAAAGGCCTGAGAGTTGAGAGCCTCCTTGTATCCGGGGCAGCTCCCAGTGAAGGGCTCCCTCCCCCAGCTCTGCCTTCTGCTCTGGGCTGCTTAGCTCCTGAGACAGGCTGGAAAGGGAAGGTGCTGGGCTCAGTGGCACCTGCCTTGGCAGAGCACAGTCTCCCCCAGGAAAACTCCCCTGGGAGCACACACTAACCTGACCACCCCTCGTGGCAGCGGAAGGTGCAGCCGGATGTTGACGGCTTGGCTGCGAAGAAAGGAATGTGGTTCGGAAGGGAGTCCCTTGTCCCTGTTCCTCTTTAGTGTCACAATGAAGTTCAGTACAGGTGCACAACACCTCCTTCCCAAATGCTAGAGCCTCTCAATTGGATTCAGATTCTGAGGCTGATGGGTGATTTGAAGTGGGAGGTTCCTGGCTCTGACTTTGGCCCAGTCTTGTATCCCACACAGCTGAACCAGGCCTGGCTGGCCCCCACTCTTACCTCTTTGGGGGCAAGTCACACCGTAACTTCAGGTAAACCTGGAGCCTGGATAAGAAGGCAAAATATTATTATTTAGGCCAGATCCTATTGGCATCTTACTGTCACTCACCCCGGGCCTCCGTGTGAGGCTGCAAAATTTACCCCAAGAAGGAACAGGGCCAAAATCCAGCCCAACACCACTGGTCAAGTCTTTTTCCAATTGATGCCCTATCACCTCTACCACCACCCTTCCATAGTAAGTCTTGGGAACATCTATGTCTTGGCTTGGGTTGGTTTCCAGAGTGGTTCTAGAACACAAGAAATGGTCTTACCGGCCTGAGCCTCGGTCCCACTGCACAGAGGGAAAGAGCCGGAAAGGGAGTGGGGAGGGGAGGTCATCAGAGAGTTGGTACCGCATCACAGTCAGCTGAGACCAGAGAGGAATGAAGTCAGTTCAGTCTCCGGCTTCCACTGCCTCCCTCCCCTACGGTGGTTACAGTATGCTAGGCCACCCTGATGCTGACCTCGCCCTGGTGTGGCTGCAAGCGGAGGATCCGATGAGACTCAAATTCATCCAGGTTTACTGAGCTGTGAAATGAGACTTCATCAACCCGAATTCCTGGCCCATAACCTGCAAAGAGAGAGACTCCTGATCCATGCTTTGGGAGAGAATGGCTGGGGTGGGGAGGTCCGATCTCTAATTTTTCTCCATGAAACTTTTGCCAGTGACCTCCACTAGGAAGAAAGACCAGTTTTCTCTTCACCTCTCAGTTCTGATTTCCCCACACAAAATTCTTCTGTCAAGCCGATGCGCATCTCTGTTGGAGGAAAGAACATCAGAACAGGTCAGCAAACACCACCATACATGGCACCAAGGATCCTGTCCCAAACCCAACCCTAGGTCCTCACCAGAGCCACTGGGAAGGAAGCTCTTGAGCCGGAGCTCTCCTTGTACATCCACCTTCAGTGGTGATCCCTGGAAGTGGTGGGGAGGTTAGCGCCCAGTTGTGACCTCCTCAACCCATTTTCCAAGTACCATGTGTCTTTAGCTCTGGGGTTGGGAGTCCTTACTTACATCAGATGCTATCAGTACAGACAATCTCTCGACCACATCCAAAAAAACTTCATTCTTTTGGCTCTGAGAAAGAAAGGAGTTCGGGATGTGGAGGCTAAAGACCTGCATTCTAAAATGCACAGGCAGAAAGAATAGTGTAATTGAAGTAGAACCCTGGGGCATGGGTAGAAGAAGGGGTACCCACGTCTAGAGGAGTGGAAAGATAATCCAGGATCTTGGACTCTGGTGTCCCACAAAGAGTCTATAAGTCTGACCTCATTGAGCCCTCCCTGACCTGGTCAGAGCGACTGGAAAGGACCGGGCGGCTGGCTGCGCTGCTGGGGGCCACTTTGCTCTGCTGTGTCTCTGCCCCAAACTGTAAAACACCCAAAGCAACCAATCCTCAGCTTTGAAGCTCCCAGGCAGCCTGCCTTCTCCCTCCTCGTTCCCTGCTACTGACCAAGCCAACACTGCTGAGATCAAAGAGGCTGAAGGGCTTGCTAACTACCGCTTCCGTCTGGATGAAGTTTCTCAGCATCTCTGTGGATGTGGTCTGTACGTAGCCATAGTCCTAGTGGTGAGAGGGTCGGACAGATGATCAGTGGGGGAAAAGGGTGAAAACCTCCCAAGCACAAGATCCCACAGTAGAAGAGTGGACATATCTGGAATGGGAAACAAGAAAAGTCTTTGGTCATTACCAATACTTCATCCAGAAGTTCATAGACAAGAGCCACATTTCGGGAAATGGTTCCCTCACTGAGGGAGCCACAGTAGTCACCCAGGAGGGTAGCTAACCTGAGGAAAGAGGACAAAGTGTGGACAGCTCCTCCTTCTCCTCTCAGGCCCCCACTTTGGGGTCCAGCCCAGCCCTCCTCACCTGGAGAGCAGCTCTAGGAGGCTGAAGGGAGAAACGTTTTCTGAAGTTGTAGCTACCAAATAGAGACCGCTGTGTCGGATGTGAATGAAATGACGGTCATCCTGAAACTGTGGCAGGGGTGGGGGGAGGTGTTAGGAAAAGGGGGTTATAGTAATCAAAGGTCCTGAAGAGTCCAAGTTGTACCCTAAGGTTCCCTGCTAGACACACTGTAGCAGTGTGGCTTCGAGCTATCTCCGAAACCTCCTGAAGGCCAGGTTTCCTAGTGTGCAAAGGGCGTTAATAGCACTACCAACTCTATAGTTCTTTAAGATTGGGCCAGACAAGGAGCTGCGCCTGGTGTATTGTCAGTGCTCAATATACTTTCGCGAATTGTATCTGAAGGAGTATTACCCCTCAATGAAAGGTTCCCAAGAAAACAGCTCTTGGAAGGGAACGAAGAGGGACCCACCCCTCAAACCCCCTCTCCGCCACACCCTCTCGCACGAGTGGTTACCATGACAACCGGGGACTCGTCTCCAGACAGTCCCGTCAGCTTCCGGTAGAAGAGCTCGGCCACATCCAGGCCACCACTGTCCCCGCGGACTGGCCAGGTGGAAGGAGCGTTAAGGAGCGGGCGACACAGACAGGCTCTGGGCTCATCTCCCAACCAGCCGCTCTATCCCGCCCTGTGGCACAAGGATACAGTCTTTGTAGATGAGCGGGTCTCCCTTGGAGGACAGGATGAAGAACTGGGAAATCATGGCTGTTCCGGAGAGTACACCTGCACACAGTGAAAGCTGGGCCTGCCCCGCCTCACGGCCCTGGAACAAAAGGACTCGCGTGGGCTAGCCCTTTAAGAGCGACTCGCCTCCGCCCGCGTCAGCCAGGACCGCGGGAAACCCGGCTCTCGCCCTGCCCCTCTCGGCGATTCCTTCTCCACCTGCCCGCCGCCTTCGAGTCACTCAGCCCAGCTTTGCCCGGTGATTGGTCAAGGGTGGAGCCTGCGGTGGGTGGGCGGGGAGAAAGGCCTTCCTTTTCGATTGGCCCGAGCGCGGCGTAGCCGGTCACATGGGAGGCGACGTTTCGCGCCAATTTCGGTTGGTTTTGCACGGTCCTGTGTGTGGCCGGTTTGTTTCCCTGGAGCTGAACTAGTACCCTCGCCAACTGCTGCCAAGCGGTCACCGGCAGCGATGGCATTGAAGGACTACGCACTTGAGAAAGGTAAGGGCCTGCAAACCTGGGAGGAGGGCTCTGCGCGGGAGGCCGCCTGGCTGACACCTGTTGGTGTGAGTGGGGTCGGAGGCGGCGGGCTTGGGAAGAGTGAGGCCAGAGACAGGGTTGGGCGGCGACGGGTGTGAGACAGACAGTCTGGGAGGCGCACGGTGGGCGTCGGGGTAGAAGAACCGGTAGTCCTGCCCGGGAAAGGTGTTGGGGTCGTGGGAGGGTAACTCGGCTGGGGCTGCAGAAGCGGGAAGGGTCGTGCCCGCAAGAGAACGAGTGCTAGGCCTTGGTCGTCTAAGGTCTCGCAGCCTCCGTGTTGGGAACACCGGATCCGCCTCCCTCCAAGCCTTAGGAGACTCGCCTGTTCCCGCGTCCAGTCGAGGCGCGCCGAAGCTCCGGGGCGGGCGGGCTGGCAGGGGCCGCTGCGCGCTGCGATTGGGCATTTCCAGCCGCCCTCTGAGCGGAAGTGGAGGCGGGCGGAAGTGGCGCGGTGCAGTCGGAGGGAGTGTCGTCTGTAAACAGTGTCCTTCCGCGCGGTGGCCTCCGAGACAGCTGCCGAGGGTGGGGGCGTGCCCTGGAATTCGGGGACTTAGAGCCAACCCGCCAGAGGCGGCCGAGGGTTGGGAAGAAGGGGCCTGGGCGTGCTAGCCAATCGCCAGACGGACTCCCGCCTCGGGCGGAGGAATCCTAGGCGGTGAGGCGGCTGGAAGCGGAGCCCATGTGCTTCTTTGTTTACTAAGAACGGAAGCAGTGGCGGGAGTGGGGGTGGGGTAGGGTACTGTCCTGGTGACGGAGGTCCGGGCGAGAGCACAGCTTTGGAGAACCCCAAGAAAAGGAGGAGTTATACAGGTGGAAGGAGAGCCGAGGACCTTGAGACCTAAGGGTGTTGTGAGATTCGGGAGGCCGTTGGAGAAGGGTGCTGAGATTCATGACTTAAGGCTGAGACTGGAATTCCCCCAGGGAAAGGTGTTGGGTAAGACTCCTAACTGCATATTCGTCCCTGGTTTAAAATATATTTGGAAAAAGGAAGCCTCCCCGCTTTGGGGAGAACTATGTAGACTTATTTACATGTTTATATGATTAACTGGTGGGTCCTGTTTACAACAAAAGTGAGTTTTTAGACTTTCGTTAGGGATTTGTAGTAAGGAATCCGAAAGAAAGATTGCTCCTTGTAATATTATATTTATATTGTAGAAAAGGTTAAGAAGTTTCTACAAGAGTTTTACCAGGATGATGAATTTGGAAAGAAGCAGTTCAAGTATGAGAGTCAGTTGGTAAGTCCAACACAGGGTGAAGGGGGTTGGGAGTGGGTGGAGCTTAAGGAGCTGTGAAAAGTGGCTTGGCTTGTTTCTGCAGGTATGTTGGTCTGTAAGCGACCCGTATAGTAGGGCACTTAAGTGGTATAATGCTACCTTGTAATGAACAGTGTTTATAAGACTTGGGAGGTAGGTTATCTTTAGGGGGCAGGGATGTGAGTATTGCTGTCCTGTGCTGCTCTTTCTCACTGTGGATAACCAGAGACCCACAACAATGGGTTTTGGGGGTGAACAGGATAAACCTGGCCCTGAGGTGTTGCCTTTTCCCAACCTTAGGTTCGTCTGGCTCATCGTGAACAAGTGGCAATGTATGTGGACCTGGATGACGTAGCTGAGGATGACCCTGAGTTGGTAGACTCAATTTGTGAGAATGCCAAGCGCTATGCCAAGCTCTTTGCTGATGCTATACAAGAGCGCCTGCCTCAGTACAAGGAGAGGGAGGTGAGTGGTTGTAAGACACAGCACAGCAAGGAAATGAAGTTTTTGAGACTTCTTGGATCCCAAGGGCTTGTGAGCTGACAGAAAGAGGGCACTGATTCTGCCTGGTGCCTTCTGTGTTCTCCTTTCCTTGTCTTTTTTTGGTCTTTTTTTGAGACAGTCTCAATATGTAGTTCAGGCTGGCCTTGAACTCATGGCTATCCTCCTGCCTCAGCCTCCCAAGTACTAGGATTATAGGTGTGTGCCACCACACCTGGCTTCCTTGCCTCATTGTGGTGTTCCTGTTTTCTTTTCCTACTTCTCTTAGGTGGTAAATAAAGACGTTTTGGATGTTTATATTGAGCACCGGCTGATGATGGAACAGCGGAGCCGGGACCCTGGGGCAACCCGAAGCCCCCAGAACCAGTACCCTCCTGAGCTCATGCGAAGATTGTGAGTGTGACTTCGACTTGGGGAAGGGTCCGGGACTTTCTCTGGATCTTATTGATTACAACTTTTTCCCCTTAGTGAGCTGTATTTTCAAGGTCCAAGCAGCAACAAGCCTCGTGTGATCCGGGAAGTACGGGCTGACTCTGTGGGAAAGTTGGTAACTGTGCGTGGAATCGTCACTCGTGTCTCTGAAGTCAAACCCAGGATGGTGGTGGCTACTTACACTTGTGACCAGTGTGGGGCAGAGACCTACCAACCGGTATGGAGCAAGAACTCACTCGACTCTGTTGGTCATTTTTATAGGAAGTAATTTTATCTATTGGTGTTAATGTGTCCTTTACTCTTGTTACTGTGAAAGATGGTCACATATTTTTCTTTCTTTGGTACATAGTAGTCATCCCATCTGTTTTGTTGGGGATTGTCATTATTGACGCAGAATAGTTCAGGGTGTTCTTAATACTTCCAGGATGTTTGCTGTGGATAGGAAATGATTCAAGTGGTGGCTGTGAGGGGCTTTTTTCCTTCTGATTTCCTTTGGTTCTTTTTTCTCGTGTTCTAGGTCCAGGCTCCCACTTTCATGCCTCTGATCATGTGCCCAAGCCAGGAGTGCCAAACTAACCGCTCAGGAGGGCGGTTGTATCTGCAGACACGTGGCTCCAAGTTTATCAAATTCCAGGAGATGAAGATGCAAGAACATGTAAATTTGGGGTATACGGCCCAAGGCAGGTGGAGGAGTGGCAGAAAGAAAGAACAAAAGAGGGAAGAGCTGAGGCAGAAAAGTCACTGACTGAGTTGGGAAGAGGTTAAGGCCACGGTTTCCCTTAATCTAATCTGAAGCTGGACAGGCTGAGAGAAGTCTTAAGAGTGTGATATCTAGGAATGAAGTTCAGGTCCCTGTGGGCCTTAATGTTCTTTTCTCCTTGTCCCATGTACTCTCTGCTAGAGTGACCAAGTGCCCGTGGGAAACATCCCTCGCAGTATCACGGTGATGGTAGAAGGAGAGAACACAAGGATTGCCCAGCCTGGGGACCATGTCAGTGTCACTGGTATCTTCTTGCCAGTTCTGCGCACAGGGTTCCGACAGGTAGTCCAGGTAAGAAAGGGACTCTTTGTCCCCTTAGAGAAAACTAGCAGCAGTAAAACACCAAACTAGGACAAAGGGTTTTTGTGAAGAACTATTAGAGAATCAGGTGCTGGGCAAGTTAAAAGGATTTCATTTACAGCCCTGTGCTTTCTTGTCCCAAGGGCTTACTCTCAGAAACTTACCTGGAAGCCCACCGAATTGTGAAGATGAATAAGAGTGAGGATGATGAGGCTGGGGCTGGAGAGCTGAGCAGGGAGGAGCTGAGGCAAATTGCAGGTGAAGTGCCAAGGGAGAGAACAGGGTGGGGTCAAGTTTCATCCTAGCCCTTGTCCCCCAGAAAATAATGTAATTTCCTTGCAGAGGAGGATTTCTATGAAAAGTTGGCCACTTCTATTGCCCCAGAGATATATGGGCATGAAGATGTGAAGAAGGCACTATTGCTGCTGCTGGTGGGCGGTGTGGACCAGTCTCCTCGTGGCATGAAAATCAGGGGTAAGGAGGAAATGGAGAGATTTATGGTAAATGAAGTCAGTTGGGAGGAAAAATAGAACGATGTTAGTGTCCATGTACCCCATGGAATAAGATCTGGCATCCTGGCTCCATAGTTGCATTTGTGTTGTTTAAAACAGATGACATGGGCCTGGGATTTAGCTCGGTTCCGCCACTTACCTCGCCAGCACAAGGTCCTGAGTTCGATCCCCGGTATCAAAAAAAACAGATGACGTGAACTGCAGGAGTGGAGACAGAAGTGTTTTTTGTTGGACAACGTGCATTGAGAGAATGGTCACTCAGCTCCCTTCTCTTCCAGGCAACATCAATATCTGCCTGATGGGGGATCCTGGTGTGGCCAAGTCTCAGCTGCTATCTTATATTGATCGCCTGGCACCCCGCAGTAAGTAGGAACAGGGATAGAGCACAGTGTTTGTTGAAAAGGCTGTGATTGGGAAGTGGAGGCCTTCAGGAGGGTTGATAGTGGGGAAAGGGAAATGTTGCCAGTCCAGCACCCACACTTTGCAGCCACCTCAGGAAGGCCTGGCCTGGGAAAGAGCAGTTCAGTAAGGCCTCACCTCACTGGTCCCATTTCTTGAGTGCTCACCCTGTGCTTGCTTCCTTCTCTCATTCTCTAAATGCCTGCTGCTTTCTTTCCTTCCAGGCCAGTATACAACCGGCCGGGGCTCCTCTGGAGTAGGGCTCACAGCAGCTGTTCTGAGAGACTCTGTGAGTGGAGAGCTGACCTTAGAGGGTGGGGCTCTGGTGCTGGCTGACCAGGGTGTGTGCTGCATCGATGAGTTTGACAAGATGGCAGAGGCTGACCGAACAGCCATCCACGAGGTCATGGAGCAGCAGACCATCTCCATTGCCAAGGCTGGCATTCTCACCACACTCAATGCCCGCTGTTCCATCCTGGCTGCTGCCAATCCTGCCTATGGGCGCTACAACCCCCGCCGCAGCCTGGAGCAGAACATACAGCTTCCTGCTGCACTGCTTTCTCGATTTGACCTTCTCTGGCTGATTCAGGATCGGCCTGACCGAGACAATGACCTCCGGTGAGGGAAGCTCAGTGCCCAGAGAGCCCTTTTGCTGGGCTGGAGGGAGGGAGTGAAGTTAGGAAAATCCTTCTACTTGCCTACTCATGGAAACTCCAGAGCTGCCGCCTCTTAGAACAGGCCGGTCCATAGTTCTTTGGGAGATAGAGGGTCAGCCTGAGCTGATATGGAAGGAGGAAGGGGTGGAGCTGAGGAAGGGTTACTGGGTTAGGCCTTGGCGTGCAGCCCTAAAGTGTTCCTTTTTTGCTTCTACTCTTCCCAGGTTGGCCCAGCACATCACCTATGTGCACCAGCACAGCCGGCAGCCCCCTGCCAAGTTTGAACCTTTGGACATGAAGCTTATGAGGTAGGAGGGCTGGGTGGGAACTGGTGTGTCCCAAAGAAGCCTGGTGCATGGCAGTGTCTTGGCCTGTTTGTTGAGAAACTTTCAGTTGGAGTGTGTATTTTTCACCACTACACCTCTTCTGACATTCCTGAGCCTGAGAACAGTGAATCGAACCACACATCGCCAGAACCTTCGTTATTTCCTCCAGTGCTGTCCTGAACCAGGCATAGCTGTTTGCCCAACTTGGATCCTGCTCCATTGACCTGTTCTCTTTGTAAAGTATACCTATTCCCTTTAGTTACACCCTAAGCTCAGAGAAGAGTCTGGTTCATCTCTCTGGCAGGTGTATTTGTTTTGTTTTGGCAAAGGCCATTTTTCTGAAAAGTTGGAAGTAATTGGAAATGCACTGGCAGATTACATTTGGGGAAATCCCTCAGTGATACTCCAGCCAAGCAAATAATCATTCACTGACTTTTTTTCCTACTTAAAATGTCTTCCAAGAATTTTCTCAAATGGGAGCCTTTAAGCAGAAACAAACCGTGTCTGTGCACTCTTCCGCATCCCTCTTCTGCTTTCCCACCAAGTCTTTCTCCCACAGACGGTACATAGCTATGTGCCGAGAGAAGCAACCCACGGTACCTGAGTCTCTGGCTGACTATATCACAGCAGCATATGTGGAGATGAGGCGAGAGGCTTGGGCCAGTAAGGATGCCACCTACACCTCTGCCCGGACCCTGCTGGCTATTCTCCGGCTCTCCACTGCTCTGGTGAGTGCTGCTCCCTGTAGTGCTGGAGGCTGGTCTGTTGTGACCCTTATCTGGCAACTCGCCCCAGTGTGGTCCTCACCTTGACGTGGCCGCCTCCCTCCCACTGGCCCTGCCGGGGCTAAAGTGCTGACAGTGCAGATAGTGGTCCTCTCTGTGCTACCGCACTGTGGGTACTTGCTGCTCCAGCAGGGCATGCACAGCGCCCATGGAGGGAAAGGCCTTCTCACTCCCGCAGCCTTTGGGTGGGTGGGTTCATCTCACCCCGAATGCTAGATCCTGTGCTATAACCCTTCATTTCTGTCCTCACATCTTGGACCTTAGTCATGGGGGCTCCAAAGTGCTGTTCGTGCAGGTAGTGTGATTACCCGACCTACTGCTGAGCTAGCACTTCCCGAGCCCCCAGGACACAACCGCTGCCAGGCACCTTGGCTGAGCTCCCCAGGCTCCATCAGTCATGGCAGGGAGCCCAGTGGAGCTCACAAGGGTCTGATCTCCCTCACAGGATAGCTGAACACCGGGACTGGCCAGTGTTGAGAGGCGGAGACTTGGGCAATTGCTGGACGCTGCCCTGGGCATTGCACTTGTCTCGGTCTGACAGTGCCGGCCCAACACTGCGGATGGGGGTGTAGGGTGGGGTCCTCACTTTTGTCCTGTGACCTAGTAGGAAACACATGGCTTGTCCCGCCTTCAACTGGAACGAGGGGGATCCCTGACTTTAGTCCCTTCCCCTCCTCCCGTCTCCATCTCTCCCCTGCCTTGCTCTTAGGCACGCCTGCGAATGGTGGACACAGTGGAGAAGGAAGACGTAAATGAAGCCATAAGACTAATGGAGATGTCAAAGGACTCACTTCTAGGCGACAAAGGGCAAACAGCTAGGTGAGTGGCTCAATGAAGGATGAAATGAGTCACCTTGGGTTTCTTGAGCAGGTCACTTCATCTTTGTGGCTTCCGTACTCACAAGCATGTAAGGTTGGCCTCAGAATTTTAACACCAACCACCATCCTCTCGCTGTCGAGTGTCCTGATTTCTGCCCTGATCTTACAAACTCATGTGTTTCCTTCAGGACCCAGAGACCAGCAGATGTGATATTTGCCACTGTCCGTGAACTGGTCTCAGGGGGCCGAAGTGTCCGGTTTTCTGAGGCAGAGCAGCGCTGCATATCACGTGGCTTCACACCTGCCCAGTTCCAGGCGGCTCTAGATGAATACGAGGAGTTAAATGTCTGGCAGGTCAATGCTTCCCGAACACGGATCACCTTTGTCTGATTACATCCTGCTTGAGACCCTAGGGCCCACCTGGGATCACATGCTAACCTGCCCCTTCTGAGGGTGTGATGCGCTGAAGGGGACAGAGATTCCCTTTTTCCCATGTTGGACTTTTTATTCCTTTTGCTAATAAAGAATGTTGAATGCCATCTTCCAAACTATGCCTGACTGACTTAGCAGAGTTTGACCTATAGGTTCATAGTGCACTCCTTTTGATTTCATCCACTCAGTAAACTGATAAAAAGTGCTTTGCCTACCTGCTAAGCACAAGTACAGACACTGGGGAATGCAGTTAAGGAATAAATGTCCCTGCTGCGGTAAACCTTTAGGTTTGGGCTGGGACTACATTTTCTCATATGCTCCAGTTTTCCTTCTCAGCCCCCTGCCCGTTTTCACTCCCTCTATTTAGTCTCAAATATCTACTGTGTGCCAGTCTTGACTGGGATACAGCACCAATATGAGATGCCCAGCCTCAGGGCCAGTTTATCCTTTACTTTTCAGTTTTTGAAATAATCACTGTAATTCAGGTTGGCCCTAAATTTATGTAGGCCAGGCTGGCCTCAAACTTGCAGTGATCCTTCTGCCTCAGCCTCCAGAGTGCTGGGATTACAAGTGTGCCACCACATCTGGGCCAGTTTATCCTTTGTGTGTGTTACTGGGATCAAGCCTAAGGCCTTGTGGATGTTGCCCTGGCTGGCCTCAAATGGTGAGCAGTAGCCACCTAAGTAGGTGGGTTTACCAGGGTGTACCACCACACCTAGCTTCCTTTTTTGGTTCTTAAATGCTCCCGTCAGACATATTTCCTGTCCTGTCAACTCTTCCTTTAAAGCCCTATTCATGAAGTAATAGAAACTGGGGAACTGCAGATTGACGTAGGAATGTATCACCTGGCACATGGAATCACATACACTGCCTGATCTTTAGACCCCTTCTTGGCCGCCTCTTTAAAGCATGGAGGATTTGAGTCCCTCTTGCCTTATAAGGTGGAAGCACCTCAGGGTCCTAACACATACACCAATGTAGTATGTGCAGAAATAACAGAAACTACTCAGTAATTCCCAGTCCCCATAGGGTCAAGGCTTTTGAGTTGCCTAGGATAAAAATGGGCTCAAGGGGCTGGGGATTTAGCTTGGTGGCGCCATAAGTGCAAGGCCCTGAGTTCGATCGCTGGCACCAAAAAAACCTTAATATCCTCCTTTCCCTTTTTAAGTGAGAAATACTTCTAATAAAATTAATTTAGCTGGGGAAAGCTGTTACTTAGGTTTGTAGAGTTGGCCTATGTAAGCCAATGTCAGGGGACAACATTAAAGGACAGAACAAAGACCATGCAGGTGGAAGCAGGGAGCCTTTGACTTAGTCTAAAACCACCTGAATGAACATACAGTCCCCTCAGCAGTGAACTTGGGGTTACTGAAGGGGATCATGAGCTGATTTAATAAACAGGGACTCTGTCTCTGAGCAAGGCTGGAAAGGAAACATCTTTTTTTTTTTTCCTCCAAAAGCATCCTTTTAAGGTCCAAGTTGAGAGACCCTTCTGGTGCCTGACAGAGAGGACAAAGCCACTGGGAAGGGGTGCTGAGGGGCTGCTCTCCTTTTATTAATGACAGCAGTTTCTAAAGAGAGTAGCGCCCAGCCCCTGTGGAACAGTTGTCTGACCCCTGCGCATGATCCCTTCAAGTACCCTTGTCAGAAGAAGAGTCCTCGCATTCGCCTGCCGATGCCTTGTCGGTCGTAGAGGACGTTGAATTTATTCACAAACTGGTTCATGGTGTTGCAAGTTTTGGTGATGGTGCCAAGGTAAGCCATGAGGCCCACATCATTGCATTGCTGGGAAGGAACAGAAAGAACCAGTTCCCCAGAGGGTCCCTCATATCATGCCCAGGCGACAACAGTCCATGCCCTGCTACAGAAATGATGGTGTAAGCCCTGCCTCCCCACCCAAAGATTTACACTCACATCATAAAAGTCTGTCTTGAATTTGTCTGTGCTGAGCACTGGGAGGCAGTGACACAGAGCATAGGCCTCCCGCAAGATCTCATGGTTGAAGGGGACTTCTCCTAAGGGTACAAAAAGGCTGCAATGATGCAGATGCTGTCACTTCCCCACGGGAGAGGAAAAACAGTGAAGTGTGAGGGATGCACCTGTCCTACCTGCTTCAGAGGCCTTGACATATTCCAAGATAAGCTTGACACGGCTATGCAGCATCTTGATGGCGCTGTGCTGTGCTATCAAATGTTCAGCCACTGCACGGGGACAGGGACAGGTGAAGGGTAAGAAGGCACGTGGTAACCCACCCCTTCCAAGGAATCACTCCCCATTTACCAGTAGAGTTCTCTCCACTGCCTGTTGCTGTCATTCGGGCTACATGGTCTACACCAATGCGTTCAGCTTCCTCTGTAGCCAGGGTATACGTGAGCTCAGCAAATAGCATTGTAGCCTGCAGGGCACAATATCCCACATAGGGAGAGTCAAAAGCAGGAAACAGGCAAAGAGCAGGATCTGAAGGTTGAAGGGTAGTGTACTACCTACCTCTCCATTGATTATATCGATGACAGACTCAAACACGCTGACAGGCAGCTGTAAAGAACAGATGGAGAAGAGTTCTTACTAAAGGCAAACACACTTGAACTTACACTATGTTCCAAGTTGGCCTGGGCCTTTTCACACATTCTTTCTCAGCTAGTTTCCCCAAGAACCCAGTGAAGTAGGGATTATGTCCACTTGATGTGTGACAGGGCTGGTTAGAGGTTTATGAATAACTCAGTCACACAGCTCATAAATGGCAGCACAGAGATTCAGCCCTGGCACTCTCCAGTAAAGATGTGTCACACAGTAAAATACAGCAGGGGATGAGGGGATGAGGATAAAAGGTACAGCATAGACAAGCAGGACAAAATGGGCCTGGGGTCAGAATACTCACATCTGTGTGCTTGGTCATAGGGTTCAACTTAAGGAAAAGGGGGCTCTCAATTATCTCACACACCTGAAAGAGAGGGGCAACGCATAGCAAACTCAATGTCTATCTTTCATCTTCTCCCTCCTCTATTCTCTGCCCCAGCATGCACACGTTGAGTGTGTATACCTGCTTATGGACGTGGATGTCGGAGGGATCAGGCGGCCCCCCTGTGGTATACCAACCCAGAAATTCCAGCTCCTTGAATACCTGTTTAACTGGAGAGGAAGGGGCCAGAGCACACAGTATTTCTTTAAACCACCCTTCCTCAGTTTGAAGCTCCTGGTGTATTTTTACCAACTGCTACCTCCTCAAATTTGGGTCCAGTTTAGAATAATTACTTCTTTCCAGCCTGTCTTCTTTCATTTGGAGAAATGCCTAAATGTGCTTTTTCCCCCTGGAGATCTCTTCAGATACTTTCCATCATCCCTCTCGGTTCTCATCCTCCTTTCTAATTTGCTCCTTCCCAACCCTCTGGATTTTCCCCACCTTGCACTTTTTTTCTTTTTAAACTCCCACTCCTATTCCCCGCTTCAATTCCCCTCTCACACTGCTCCTCCTTGGTGTAATAATATTCCTTGTCGATGATAATCTTCTCTTCCACGGTGTGGGATAGCAGCTCAAAGGAGTTCATCACCTCGATATTTCGGCCCTCCTGTTTCCCGATCAGAGCCCCAATCACTGGGGGAGAGAGTGACAGGAACAGGTGAGGGTAAAGCATCTAAAACATTCCCCTAATCACCTGTGGGTCTGGGGCCAGTGTGAACCTTGGGGAAAACAGTAATTTGAGGGAGAGGGAACTGCCTTCAATAAAGGGGGAAAGACCACTGTTTGGAGGAAAGGTCTAACGCAGAGGGTTAGAAATTTATGCAGAACACTCACCCTGTACAGGACGCCCCTCCTGGGAGCGCATGCGGATCCAGTGGTCTGAGATGTTGAGAATGACAAGGGGATGAAGAGCGACGGAAACGCTACCCGTGACTCCGGAGGCCATGACGCTGGGGACTACTATGGGTGGAGGGAAAGGAGAGTGACAGTCCGCGCCCCACGTTCTTCCCTAGAAATAGGAGTGGGGGACGGCAGAGCCTGGGCCCTCCATTTCTCCTCCAAGTTACCCGGGAAGAGATGCTGCTTCTCCCGGGTGTCCAGGAAGGCCTTAACGCACCCCCGAATGGTGTCTCCAGAAGCCGCCCCGCATGGCCCGTTACCTGCTGTATCCACCTCCATCCCGCTGCTCCCTCCGGTCCCGTTTGTCGCAGCCGCCGCCGCCATTTTCCCCACGCCCGCCAGCCTCAGCCCCGCCCCCTTACTACCCGGCTTCCGTCGAGAATGGCGCATGCTCAATATCCACGTGGCGCGGGGTTGGGGAGTTCCATAAGTAGGGCTGTGTACTTGCAGGACTGGCTTTCCGGAGAATTTTGCAGACCCTGTCCCCGCCTCTCGCGGATGACCCTGGACAAATCACTTAACACTCTGTCCAACTTGATCGGCTGTGTCTGTAAAATTGGGATGAAAATGCCCAATTCTTAAGCCTGTTACAGAATGAATAAAATGTCACGTTATTGCCCTCAGTATGCAAACCAAACTTGTCATCACAGCCTGAAAGCCCCTGCGTGATCCGATCCTGACTGCCAGTTGGCCCAGGCCTCTGCTCTTCCAGCCCTTGATCCTTGTGCTTCAGCCACACTGGCCCTCATGTTTTCGTTTTTCAGTACTGGAGGTTGAACTCAAGGCCATCCCACTGAGCTACATCCCCAGCTCTTGTTACTTTTTTGTTTGGTTGGTTTTTTGGTACCGGGAATCAAACTCGGGTCCTTGTGCTTATGCAGCAGGCGGCGAAACCACTGAGCTAAATCCCCGGCCCCTGTTTGTTTGTTTGTTTTTTAAACAGTAGCAAAGTTTTATTAAAGGTAGAAAAATTAAAAGTTCTACAGAGCGAGTTTGGGCCAAGTAAAAGTAGGAAAAGAAGTACACCCTACAGTGTGAGGGCAGGCCACCGTGCAAGAGAGAACACAGTAGCACTTTTTTTTTTTTTTTTTTTTTGTGAGACAGTGTCTCCCTATGCAGTTCAGGCTGGCTTGAACTCACTTTGTAGCCCAGGGTAGGCTGGAACTCGTGGGAATACTCGTGCCTCAGCCTCCCGATTGCTGGGATTACGGGCGTGTGCCACCACACCTGGCTTTATTAATTTTTAAACTCGAGAAAAGT